AAAAAGGTTTTGCACAAAGCCAATCCAACCAAGATTAGAAGGGAAACAGAAAGCTGGGAAACAATTTTTACAGCCAGTGTCTCTGATAAATGCCTCATTTCTAAAATAAATAGAGAACTGAGTCTAATTTATAAGAACACAAGTCATTCCCCAATTGATAAATGGCCAAAGGATATGAACAGGCAGTTTTCAGAGAAAGAAATTAAAGCTATCTATAGCCATATGAAAAAATGTTCTATCATTATTGATTAGAGACATGCAAATCAAAACAACTCTGAGGTACCACATCACACCTATCAGATTGACTAACATAACAAAACAGGAAAATGATAAATGTAGGAGAAGTGGGAAAACTGGAACACTAATGCATTGTTGGTGGAGTTGTAAACTGATCCAGCCATTCTGGAGAACAATTTGGAACTACACCTAAAGGGCTGTAAAACTGTGCATACCCTTTGACCCAGCTATACCATTTCTAGGTCTGTATCCCGAAGAGATCACAAAAGGGGAAAAGCACCCACATATACAAAAATATTTATAGTAGCTCTTTTTGTGATGGCAAAGAATTAGAAATTGAGGGAATGCCCATCAATTGGGGAATGGCTGAACAAATTGTGGTATATGAATGTAATGGAATACTATTGTGCTATAAGAAATGATGAGCAGGTGGGCTTCACTAAAACCTGGAGAGACTATGAACTGATGCTGAGTGAAATGAGCAGAACTAGAACATTGTACACAGTAACATCCACATTGTGCGCTGATCAACTTTGATAGACTTGGCTCTTCTCAGCAATGCAAGGATCTAAGATAACTCCAAAAGATTCACAATGGAAAATGCTATACACATGCAGAGAAAGACCTATGAGTCTGAAATACAGATGGAAGCATACTATTTGCTCTCCTTTCCTTTTGTTGTTTTGTTTTATTTCTCCTTTCTGATGGTTCCTCCCATTAGTTGTAATTCTTCTATATATCATGACCAATGTGAAAATATGCTTGATATGAATGTATAAGTAGCACTTATAACAGATTACACACTGTCTTGGGGAGGGGGGAGGAGAGGAAGGAGGAGAAAATCTCAGAAGTGAATATTAAAAATGAAAAAAAGAAATTATTAAAAAAAAAGAAATGTGAGACTACACAAAAATATGTCTGGTAAAATAACATGTAATGTTTTCATCTCCATTTTGCCATTGCTTGGGTATCTTTGTTGAGTGGTGTGCAGTATGTCCAATTCATTGTATTATGTATATGTGCACTAAATAACAAGTGGATTATCTCTAAAGAAAGGTGCCCTGCTAAAGGATAGAAGGTACATTTTCATTGCGAATGCAAAATGAAACTCCTTATACCAGCAGTACATATTTAGAGTTCCACTCCCCCCACATCCAATCAGTTACAAATTCTTATTAATTTACCTCAACTCCATCTTCAGATATCCTCTTGCAACTTTCACAGCTGACCCCCTAGTTCAAGGCCTCTTCTGTTCTAGACTAGGCTGCTGAAATCATATCCTAATTTGTCATCCTGCTTTCAACTTCTCTCCTTTCCAATCCAAATTCTACATGTCTGCAGATCCAATATTCCTAAAATTCAGGGCTGTCTCATTTCGCTACTTAAGAATCTCCCCTGCCTATAGAATAAAATATAAATACCTCTGTTGGACACTTAAAGTCCTTCACAATCTGCCTCCAGTCTATGTACAATCTTACTTCACATTATTCTCACTTATACACGCTATATTGTTGCTCGCTGGCCAGCTAGGCAAACTTCATCTTGTATTTTTTACATGCAGATAGCCTGGGAATCAAAATCTAGGTCTCAAAAGCATGGAAGGAAAAAATAAGGTCTTATTTACAAGGCAGCAAATTCTGGGAGAAGAAGGAGTAGATGAAAAGGGATAAGTGGTGCCAGGGATTGGGGGACACGCTTCAGGGGGCAACAGGCCTAAAGGTTCCACAAAAGACTCATTAAGTATTTAAACGCTTATGCTTATTAGTTAGCAGTAAAAACAAAAATGAAAACATTTCTCAGCACAGGTTTCCCCTAGTTATTAAAGCTTTATATGTGTCCCTGCTTCATTTCTGATCCTTAAAATCCCTATCTCCACCTTCAAGATTCAGCTCAACAGCCCTCTTCTAAACAAGGTATTTCCTGATGCTCTCAATTATTAGGGTTATCACTATGTAACTACTTTGTGTACACTTTATATTTACTTCCTTATAAACATGGAACAAAGTTAAAAGGTTGTGTTCAACTCTTCAAGGACTAAAGGAAATTCCCAGAGTCTCTTTTAACCCCAACTTCCCTATTCCAGGCTATCTAATAACAGGCACTGTAATATACTTCTCATCACTTCTTTTACCTAAGTGTTTCTTATGTCCAGATTTTAACGAATGTATGTAGAAGTCAGGTGTTAATTATAATACACAAAATTTAAATTAGGACAGACAACTATATCTCTGTATGATGGGAATTTCCCTAACAGGGGGCTCTGAGCTATTGTGATTGTATCAGTAACTTTCCATCTGTTGTAAACTCCATAAAGTCCCAGAGAATGGAACCCCATTAACCTGAGAATTATTATATTTGTCCCTAGGCTAAAAATAAACTAATTGTTATAAAGGGGTGTGGCTGGTTAAAAATCAGAAAGGAGGAAGGAAAAGAAAGTATTAACCAAAGAAAAGAATATACCCTAACCTAATTCCCAAGGAAGAGATTGATGAGGCCAATTCAGCTCTATTCCTTTCCAGAATGGAGAAGCAAGCCAAAATAATTGATAGTATTAACCAACCAACTCTATCCTCCAAGATGACACCTCAGTGTGTTACAAAACTGGTTCTGGCAATACATTAAGAACACTAAAAGCATTATTGAATGTTGGAAAGAGGACTGGTCTTAGAAGTAGGTTTGGGGGCAGCTAGGTGGCACAGTGGATAGATCACTGGCCCTGAACTCAGGAGGACCTGAGTTCAAATCTGGCCTCCAACCAAACACTTGACACTAGCTGTGCGACCCTGGGCAAGTCACTTAACCCCAGCCACCTTAAAAAACAAAAAGTAGATTTGAATTCTACCTCTCCTATTTAACATCTGTGTAACCTTAGTGAAATTATTTGATCTTCCTAAAGCTCAGTTTTCTCACCCATAAAATAGATGTAAATAAAACTTGCACTTGTCTGTCTTACAGGATTGCTATAAGGTAAACACTTTGTAGATGTTAAAATGGCATAGAAATGTAAGCTGTCATTATTTCTTAATGTTAATAATACTAATCTTCTTAGAAAAGAAATTTTCTAATATGGAGAGTCACAAGACATCAAGGATCTTGAAATTAATAAAGCATAACACAAAGCTATGATTTACTAAGTTTTTGTTTTAAGGGCTAAGACTTAGTAAAACAGCATAGTTGGGTAAGAAGTGACTAGTTTGAAGGATTGAAGGAAGATTGAGGGCCTGGGTAAGGTACTTAAAATTACATGAAGAGATCAGGTTTATAGCATCAGAGTGAAATAGGCAGAGAATATTTACGCATACTTCATCCCTCATTTTATACATTCAGATTATACTAGAAAGTTCAGATCTAGCTCTCCAAATCATAGAAGGAGAAAATAAGATTTTTTTTATATAAAGTAGTAACTTCTGGGGAAAGAGGGAGTAATTCAAAAGGGCCAACTGTTACCAGGGACAGAGGAACAAGCTTCAGGCTTAAAGTTTGTGCAAAAGATTGATATAATACATAGCTGTACATCAGTCAGTAGGGAAAGGAGATAAACAGAAAGGCATGCAGCAAAAAGCACTACCACCCCAGGGAAACCGCTGGTGGTAGAGACTGCTAATGGGTTATGGAAGAAGGTACTCTGTAAAATAAGCACCCACTAGCTACTAACAAGGAACAAAGTTTAGAAACCTTGTCCTAGGTTTAAAGGAGAGAGGAAGTTGAGACGACATGTGCCCAGGGCAGCCTTACAAAAACAAATTCAAATTTCAGGGTTAAGCACAGATCATATTCTAGTACTGTTCGCCCACCTCAGTTTTCTTAACTCCTCTTTCTCTCCTCTTCCCCCTCTACTTTTCAGCCCTTAAACCTTTCTTCCTGTAAATTGATAACCTCACAGACTTGGGGAATAGATTGGCTCTTTGACCTAACACCAGATCAAAGGAGTTAGAGCTAGACAGAAACTTGGAGATCTTCTTTTTCAAACTTCAGTTAAGGAAACTGAGGCCCCTGAGGTATTAAGTAAAATGCCCAAAGTCACAGGTAGTTAGTAGCAAAACTGAGATCCAAATTCAGGTGTTCTGACTTTGAATCTGTATCTTGACCTACTAGATCATACTGTTTGCCTCTATCTCTCAGCTCCTACCCCAGAACTTGCTCTGTCCAATTCATTTTGCTTCCCCTTCCCCACCAGGGACAAGAAGATGCACTTTTACTCAAAAAGCCACCTGGGAATGGGATTCAAATGTTAACCAAAGCCTTTCTCTGTTCCTTCTTTTTCCTAAAGACTGTCATTTCATTTTCCAAACTGCACCAGCAGCTAAGAGCCTGGGCATCTTTCTTAAGTTAAAGAGACAGTCTCTCTGTCTCTCCCCACTCCCATCACCCCCACCCTCTCGGGCCAGCAGTACAAACGGAGGGAAGGAGAGTTAGCAAGAAGGAGAGTGGGGAGGAGTGAAAGCAGGCACAGCAAAGGGAGGACAGGAGGGAAGAAGAAAGAAGCTTGCGAGAATGGGGGGCGGGGGGGGGAGAGAGAGTTTGAAATCATTGCCTCTGTGCCTGCAGGACTCCACCCCTGCAACCAGTGCCCCAAGTATCCCTTGCCTCCTCCTTAGCTCCAAGTCCACTGGGGGAAGGAACCGATCCACTCTCCAGCGGCAACAGCAGAGGCAGCAGCTGCCTTGGCAGCTGCAGCAAAGGGCTATCACCTTGCCTTCCTGGTATTTTTCCAACTCACTCCCCGTCACAGTTCGCCTCTCAAGTCCTCTGCGGGACCTTTCCAGACGAGAAATTTCACGCTCAGGAAGGCTCCAATACAACTCCGTGGCAGGGCGTTCGGGAGAAGCCGGGCAGGTGAGAATGCGCTGCGGGGGCTGTTGGAGAACAAGTGGGGAGGGCAGGCTTTTCCTCAGACCAACGATGCGCCTCCAGAGTTCAGGATTCCTTTCTCATTCCCCTTCCTCCTCAGCCAAGCTCCCCAGTTGCTTCCAGTCGTGAAGTCCTAGAGCACGTATGTGTCATACATGCGAAGTACCTGCGACACTGCCCAGACACTGGAACCTTGGGGAGGGGAGGGGGTGAGGGCGGGGGAGGGTGTTAGGAAAGGGGACTGGAGAGGAGACAAGAAAGGGGACGGAGATGGAGAAGAGTATACATCTCTGCCTTTACAATCAAGGCTCCTGTGTCTCCTTGGGAGATTGGCCAGCACAGATAGTGAGAGCAGCCACTAAGAGATTCTCGAGGGATCAAAGGGAGAGCAAAACCGTTAGAAAGAGGGGTGGGAGTGGGAGGAGGGTCACAGGAGAGGAATATCGCCACTTACTGTAGTGCAAAAATAGGAGAGAGAGAGAGAGAGAGAGAGAGAGAGAGAGAGAGAGAGAGAGAGAGAGAGAGAGAGAGAGAGAGAGAGAGAGAGTTGGGGCTGGCTGCGGGGTTGAGGGGAACGGGAGAAGTCTTGGATCAGAGAGAGATTGCAAGTCTGAAAATTAGAGTAGTACTTAACTGCTTCAAGAGGAAGGGTGCTGGGGGGGGGCTATCCGAGGGTGGGGGTGATGCTTTGGAAACACAGAATTAGCCTGCTGAAGACACTGGAGATCCTAGCACCGAAAACTTGTTGGGCTTGAGAGAGGAATGAAATAGATAGGGAGTGGAAGTTGGTGAAGCATTTAAGGTTGTTTTTGAGATGCATCGGTATTGGATTGAAGTACCTGGCGTTTTCTAGCCTAAAAGAGAAAATAGTGACCTGATGGTAGAGCCCTGGGAAACAGAGCTGAACTTCCACTGGTTGTAAGATACCCCTCATAATTTATTTTCTGTTCCCCTACCTTGGAAAGTGAAACCTGGGGGGGGGGGGTGTGAAAATGATCCCTGAAAATAAGGCATTTTGTTATACGTGGGTGCTATCAACTTTTTTTTTCTAGATTTAATGTGTTAGATTTATGCCACATTGCACTTTTTTAGCAGACGTTCTGCATGAGGGAAAATAGAAAAAGTACATATCAATCAATAAACATTTATTAAGCACCTACTGTGTGCCAAGCACTATGCTGAGCGTTGAGGATACAAAAAGAGGCAAAAGACAGTCCAAGAGAGTTTTACTGGTTTTACTTAATGTTAAATTTAAGAGAAGTTTAAATTTATTTTGTATTTAAATATTGAAAGATAAATTCGATTTAAAACTTCTGTTTGTAAGAGGAAGCAAAACATAGTACATTGTGAATCTAAAAGCAAGGGGGAAGGGAGCCGGGGACAAGGAAGGTGCTGTAAACAAAAGAAATTTGCTGAGCAGAATGAAGTTAAGAGCTTCTGCTCTTTTTCCTGTCTCCTTCCCAATTCAGTTTCTCCCTCTGATCCCACTCCAACCGTACAGTTTTATTTCTGTTATAGGAATTGTCTTTTTGTCTGATCTCTAGTAATACCAACACTAGATTTGTATTTCAAGGTTAACCTTCCTTGTTAATCCATGCTAACGTAATTTCACATCCAAATTACATTATCAGTTGTCTTTCACCAACAGACTAACATGCCTATAAAAAAATAAAAAGATATCCTGCCTACTGCTAATTGAAAGAGTTACTGTATTTCAAAAGAGATTTTGTTTTGTTGTCACCCAAGGACTTGTGTGCATCCCTTCCTCTAAATGCTATTCTAATCAGCAAATGAAGAATGAAAGACTGAAAGATATTTGAAAGGAGATAGGCTTACATCATATCCAGCAGATTGTCTACTCCTCCACCCTGTGGCTCTTTTACTGATGCACAGGAATGTTTGGTTGTTGCTATAAAAACTTGTTTTAACGGATAGGATGGCTTCTTATTCACCTTGCCAATCAGTCTAGGTGTGTAGATGATGGACTCATTAATATTGTTTAAATATTTTTATAGTTTTAGGGGAAAAATCAGATTTACCTGTATGATATGTATAACATCCTTTAATTTATATAATATTGATAGATAGTACAGAGACTATCAGGAAACTAGTAATCCTCAGTAGCATGTTTTAAGACACTACTGTTTTTGTTTTTCTAAATACACTTTGAAATAGATAATTTTTTAAAAATCTAATTACCCAAAACTCCTGTCAGTTTTTATCTGAAAGTTGGGATCAGGTATGTGTGTTTTTTTAATGTCACTTCCAATGAAAGAGTCTGATCTTGTGTGTTTGTTTGTGTGTGTATGTGTGTGTGTGTGTGTGTGTGTGTTGTAATTGCTATTGAACTCCCACATCAACAGTCTGAAAGATACATCCTCATCTACTGTTAAATGCAAATAGGTTGCTTTGTGAAAAGTAAGCTGGACAGTATCACATATCACACTTTATTTTAAGGATAATGACTTTAAGAAGTCAGTAGTGACTAAGGAAACCTTCATTACTTTTTGGAGCATAGGCTTACAATGAACCTACCCTCAATCCCAAGTGTGAAAAGAGAAAAATAAAATGAAAGAAGTTTTGAGGCCCTTGGTTTCCTAATACTGAAGATCTGAAGACCTGAATTAGCAAGTTATTTCTATTTGACAAGTTAATAGCCACAAAGTATAGGTGTGAATTTAAGTTGGTAAGGCATTGTGCCATAAAATGCATTGAAATAATAAATGATAATATCAAGCCCTGAAATAAATAAAATTCTTAAGTGAAGGAAAAGGCACCTTTAAGTGAGATAAAAAGGGTCTTAAGCCTGGGACACTGCCATGTATCTATAATACATGGCAGTATATGGGAGTCCATCAAGAAAACTTACAGAAAGGTTTTTTATACATTCAGAAGAAAAAAGGGGGAGGAGGTATCATATGAGGATCTAGGCCTGGTCATGAGGCCCCAGCCACCCTGGTAATCTGAGCAAGAAAACCCACTTCATTTTGGTTGTTTACCCTTCTTGATCCAATTTCCCCCAAACCTTTATGAGGAGGCAAGCACACTTAGAGTCACTTTTGGCAGCTGTGGTTAGCCCAAGCTAGTTCTGTTTATGGGATAAACAGAGTTAAAGATTTCCGGCCCAAGCTAATTGAGAAGAAGTGCCTCAAGAGCAGGAATACAAGGACATTACTGGGACCCTTTAAAGGGAGGGGCAGGGAATATTACATTTGATATTAACAATACTAAAGTTAATTTTCCTATCAATAAGAATAAATCTTACATATAGATATATCTTCAGAATCAGTGGGTTTTCTTCTGTAAGATTTTATTTTATTTATTCTTCAGGCAAAGGAAAGTTGCTGGCACATCCTAAAAAATAAATACTTGTTGCTTGGTTGATTTCTGATTCCCCCACCTCCAAGTTCTGAATGTCTACCTTTTACAATTAGCTTGTATTTACTTTGTATGTGTTTTCTATAAGAGGGATCATGGTATAGTGGATCGAGTTCATCTTGAAGACCTGAGTTCAAGCCCCATTCTGACACAAACTGGGCAAAGCATTTAACATCTTAGCACTCTAAGTACCTCTTTACTTTTATAAGTTGCGGGGAACATGCTGTCTTACATCGGTAGAGGCGTTTTTGTTTTGTTTTTTGTTTTGTTTTTATTTTTGTTTTGTTTTTTTAATCTGGAAAATCCCCAAACCAATAAAATCATAGACTAAGCTATTAACCCCATATATTTTTGTATATAGTTTGTTCTGTGGCAGCTAAGTCACTCAGTGGAAAGAGTGCCAGGCCTGGAGTCAAAACAACTCATCTTCCTGAGTTCAAATGTGACCTCAGACACTCACTAGCTTTGTGAGCCTGGAAGTCACTTAACTCTGTTTGCTTCAGTTTCCTCATCTGTAAAATGAGCTGGAGAAGGAAATGGCAAGCCACTCTAATATCTTTACCAAGAAAACCCCAAATGGGGTCACAAAGTCAGACATGAATAACAACAACAAAATGCTATATGTGTCTTCGTGTCATTTTCCCAGATACAATATCACTTCCTTGAGGATAGAGCTGTTTCATTTTTGTCATTGTATCCTCCGGGCCAAGCATATAGTAGGTGCTTAATAATTGCTTGCTTGATTTACAGAATTACAGTGTTAAGAGTTAAAAAGGGAACCTCAGAGGCTTGTAGTAGTTGATAGAATCCCCTCGACAACATCCAGCATTGGTGGTCATCTAGACTGTACTAGAACACCTCATTTTGTTGCTGTTGTTGTTGTTCAGTCATATCTGATTCTTTGTGACCCCATTGGGGGTTTTCTTAGCAAAGATATTGCAGTGGTTTGCCAGATTTGAGTGTCTCTGTCCAGATTTGAGCTCAGGTCTTCCTGATTCCAAGTCCAGTGCTCTATCCACTGTGACATCTAGCTGCCCCCAGTTAAATATATTATAGGTAGCTATTTCCATTCCTGAAAAGCTTTAATTGTGAGACTGTTCAGTTCTATAATTAAGTCAACAACTGGCCTTCTATAATTTCTGGCCATTAGTCCCAAGTTTGTCCTCTAGAACTACATAGGTGTAGTCTAATTTATCTGTCACATGACAGGCCTAAACTATTTGAAGGCTGCTATCATGCCTTCTCTACATCTTTTTTACAGAACAAATATCCCCACTTCTCTAAATTTGCTTTCATATGACACACTTTTAATCACCTTACCTGTCTGGTGACCATCTTCTGTGATGCCTCAGTTTGTCAATGCCCCTCATAAAATATGATGCCCAGAACTGACCAAAATACTGGAGATGTAGTTAGACCAAGACAAAGAACAGTGGAACTCACACATTTCTTCTGTACAGTGTATTTCTCTCAATATGGTCTAAGATAACATTAGCTTTTGTTTCGTTTCCATATCATTCTTTGCTCAACATCCACGAAAATCCATAGATCTTTTTCAGGTGAACTACTGTTAAGTCGGGTTAATTATTTGAACCAAAGTATAGTAC